CAAGGAGGAAGGATAAGTACACAAGCTGAGATCAGCACCGCCCCCGTGGGTTGTCGACTGGCTGTCGAGTCGTCGACCGCGCGTCGGGTTTCACATGTGCAACTGCGCATAGTCGCCGTCGAACTTCGGAGGCCGGGGGCGACAGGGGCGGAGAAGGAGCGGCAGGAGAAAGAGGTGCACGCATGAGGAGAAGGAGCGAATAATGGGTAGAAGGGGAAGGGGGAACAGGAGGAGGATATGGGGGATGAGGAGGGGGCGGTGGATGGACGGGAGCTCGGGGTTGAGGGAGGAGGGGGGGGGGGGAGATGAAAACCGAGGTCGGGGGGGGGGGGGGGGGGAGGGGCAAGAGGGAGGGCGGATGAGCAGGCAGGAGGGGCGGGGGGGGGGAGGGGCAGGAGGGGCGACGAGCGCGCACTTCCCCGAGGAGAGTTCTCGGCGGAGGCTGTGCGTCCTGAGCCCGCGCGGTTCGTTCGGGGCGGCGCGTTTCCGAACTTTTTGCGGATGTGCTGCGCCTTCCACCTGGTATCAGGTGGAAGGCGCAGCCGTCGTCGTCGTCCTCCTCTTCGTCTGCCGCCATCCTCGTCCTCCTCCTCTTCTTGCTCCACGTCGTCGCCGCCCCCGCCCCCGGCCCCCCCCCTTTTTTGCGCGCGTTGCCGAGATTGGGGGGGGGGGGGGGGGGGGGGGGGGAGACGCGCGCGCCCCCCGCCCTGTGCGCCGCGGGCCAGCAACGTCGCCCCGCGCGCCATCGGGGCGCGCCCTGCTGGAAATCAACCGGGGGCGTTCGCAGATTGCGCTGGATGGCGTCGGTTTCAGCGCCGCCCTCTCCTGGCGAAAGCCTGACCGGCGACTTGCGGCCATCCGGAGCGAGCGATGTGGCCGGCGGCCGGGGCGCCCGTTGCGCGCGCCGCGCCACTTCGCGCCGCTCGTCGCGCAGTCAGCGCAATAGTTCGCCCCGCTGATGGGGCAGCGCGCCGGCCATTCAGGCGTGGCGGGCGCAGGCGAGCCGGGGGGGCCCGCGCGCTGAGGCATGGCTCGGGACATCGTCGACGCCGGGGGCGGCCTGGCGACGTTGCTCCGAGCCGGCGATTGGGCCAGCTCGGCCTTTGCGCAATATTTCCGCGACCAGCGCATAGAAGAGGCAGCGGCCCTGTCGCTCCAAATGGACCGTTCCGATTCGGAGTAGGGGGCGAGAGGACATTTTGATCAAATCAAGTTCCTCTTCCTGTGGTCTGGGCGCCTCGGCTCGTCGCATCTGGCTGCTAACTATCCCAGGATATCCTGCTACGGTCGCGACGATTGGCCAGGCAATCGATCGCCTTGCGATGGGCGCGGGGCCGCGGCGACCCGCTTGCCCGGGCAAAATTGCACGACCCATCGCACTACCGGTGCGGGAACGCTGGCAGGCCGAGGAATGATAGTGGGCGCTCTCCTCCGCGGACAACGCGCGCGCGCGGTGCGAGCGGGGGGGCGCGGCGCGACAGTGGAGCAGCCAGGTAGAGAAAGGTGGTTGTAGCCGAGCGGCTTTTGTGATGTTGACGCCTCACGTGCAGGCGCATGCTTGCGTTCTCCTTTACCTCCCTTCGTCCGTTCCGTGCGATCGGGCACGGGCCCTGCTCGAAGTCGCATTCGGTCCCTTGGGGCTCGTCGGCGGGCACGGGCCCGGAGCGCAGGCAGGGCTCGGGCCCGGGGGAAGGCGGCGAATGCCCCGCCCGCCCACAGCCGTGCCTCGAATCGTTGAACTGGCTTTCCTGTAGGTTTTTGGCACATGCAGGAGGTTTGCGAGGCGCGGAACATTGGGCCAGGAGGCTTTCACGGGCAAGTCTCCGGCCCGCCCGCCCGCCCGCGCCTCCGCGGAGCTACGGCGACCCGCTGGCCCCTGTCTGATTGCGCGACGCTTCGCGCGACCAGCGCGGGAACGCCGGCAGGCGGAGGAATCATTGTGGGCGTTCCGACTGAAGCCCGTGGGGTCGGCTTTGGCTGTCTTGGAGGCATCGCGGGGCCGTCGCAACCGTCTAGGAGGCCGTTTCGGGCCATCTTGGCAGTCATGGGAGGAAATTTGCCCCGTGAGTTCCGGGTTTGGCGAAGCCTTTTCGGTTGGCCAGCGCGGCGGGCTGAAACCGCAGGCGGGAGTTCTTTGGGGCAAGGAAGCGAAGCCAACAGTAATAGGATCGAGCACGCCGCGCACCCCTGTGGCAGCCAACGGGGTCGGCGGATCAAGTGGCCTGCGGCCCATCCCGCCACCGCGCCTGGGTAGTGGGCCAGAGCCCTCAGGCATGCTTCGTGGGTTCTCTTCGGAGGGCCCATCTGGATACAGCCTCTTGAGAGTTTGTTTCGGGCCGCTTGGGGTTTCGTGGGGGCCGCTTGAAGCCTCTCGGGGTCTCTGGGGTGCCCCGTGGGGCCTCCCGAGGGCTTCTTGGGGCGGCGAGCTCGAAAAGAATGTGGGTCCGCGTTCCCCTTTCCGAGGCCCTTAATTATAGTAACTATGCAGTAATATTGTCCTTCTTTTCTGGCAGTCTTGGATGTTTCCCGGACCGTTTAGGGAGACTCTCACGCAGTGGCAATATGTGGGTTTTTTTGCGCCGCTTTGGGGCGTCGGGAAGCCGAAAGGTCTGACATATTTAACTCTTCGAATGGATGTTGCCTTTTGGGGCCCTCGTGGGGGCGTTTTTGGAAGCCTTTGGGGGCGTATCGGAGACTTATGAGGCCGTTTGGAGGGCGTCTTGGAGCGCTCTTTCGGCGAATCAGGGCTCTCTTGGGCCCATTTAGGGTTATCGTTGATTTATTTGAATTGCCAGAGGAGAACGAAATTTCCCCCAAGAGGACCCGAAATAGGAGGAAGGAGACTTCATTCAGACCCAGGACACCCCCCATGACCCCCCCCCAGGACCCCACACCCCCCTTGACACCCCTTATGACCCTCCTCCCTCCTCCACGATCCCCCCATGACCGCCTCTGGAAGGGAAGGGCGGCATTCTGACACGGGACCACATTTGGGACACCAGCCCGGGACCCCCCGCCCGTGACCCTGTAGTGGGGCCGCTTCCGCTCCAGGGCGGGGGCGGGGGAAATGACATTCTGATTTGGGACCCCCTCGCGGACTCTTCCCCCAGGATTCCCCCAGAGAACCTCCCCGGTGGAGAAAGGATCAACGGGAAGGCGCTTCCCTTCGACCCACTGACGACTTCGATTGCCACACACGACCGCTTCCGCCCCCCCCCCCAGGACGCCCCTCCAGACACCCCCCCCCGGGTGGGGGTGGATGATATTCTGAGTTGGGGCCACCCCCGGGATCCCTCCCGGGAGCCCGTCCCAACCCCTCTGCCCCCAGCGGGGAAGGGATCGAAGGGAAGAGGCTTTCCTACGATTCAATGATTCGATTGGACCTGGTACGATTTATCTCCAGTTGACGAGCTTGGCGCGCCAAGGAGGGTCTTGAGAGAAGGCCCGCGCATGGAAGAACAAAGGGAATGAAAGGTCGTCTCCGAGGACCACTTTCGGGCGACGGACCCAAACATGAAAATTTGCGGCACTTCCTTGAATTTCTCGGAGGTCCCGTTGAGTGAGGTAGAGTGTTTCTTTTCACCCTCTGGGCCCTAACGCGCGTTACGCCCCCCGCCCCCCCCCCGGATAACGGGACGCTCACCCCCCCGATAGTGCGCCTCAGGCACTGCCTTTGTGACGCTCGCAGGCTACTTTGGTGATTGCAGGCTATTTCAGCGTTCGCGGGCTCGCGTGGCGTTGAGAGGCTCATTGCCCGTGCTCGCAGATGTGATGCTGCACTCGTAGGCCACTGTCGCACATGCGCACGCGGGCGGGGTTCACACAGTATTCTGGTGTTGGCAGGGCCGCCAGAGTTGTGGTAGTGACATTGGTGGCAGAAGTCCTGCAACAATTGTAGCAGTAATAGTAATATCAGGAGGAGGTGGAGGAGAAGGAGGAGGAGGGAGGGTGGAGGTCGATTGGTCGTCGTCATGATCGTCGTTGTTGTCGATTTGTGGTTATGGTGATCGTTGTTGTGCTTGTCGTTACTGTCGTCGTCGTAGTCGTCGTATTCGTCTTGGTCGTATCGATAGTCGTCATCTGCGTGCGCGTGGTCGTCGTTCAGACAGTCGTCGTGACAATCGTAGTCGTCGTAGACTCCGTAATCGTCGCTGTCGTCGTCGTAGTCGTTGTGGTCGGCGTTGCGGTCGTCATCGTGGTCGTCGTCGCATGGTCGTCGGGATCGGAGTCGTAGTTGTCGTCCTGGTTGGCGTGTTCTTCCTGATTGTGGTAGTCGCGATCGTCGTAACGATGGTCGTCGATCGTAGTAGTTATTGTGATTCTAAAGGCCCGCGGGCCCCCAAGAAGCCACCTTGGGCCCTCTAGTTGCCTGTACAGCCTAGCTCAGAACCCTTGAACCCTTTTCCTGGGCCGCTGTTGTGGCTCAAGGGAAAGGGGGCCTGTCGGCCCCCTTTCAGGAGCTTGCGCGCGGTGTACTGAAAATAATCCGATCAGTTTCATGTTTCCCAATTGCACTACCCTCTAAGATGGTCGAGAGGCCTCGAGGAACCAGGAACCCATCCACATGTGGTAAGCGGAGCGACGGCAACGACAGCGGTCACGACAGCAAGCAGAGATGGGCAGTCGTGGATGATGACAATGGGGACGACAACAATTGGATTCAGAACAGTACACGGCAGAGCAGCTCGTGGGACCCTTGGAGTTCATGGACCAAACATCGAGAAGCCGATTGGGGAGCTTGGCAGTGGGCAAGCGACGGCTCGAACGATGATTACTGGGCCGAGAATGACAAGTACGAGCACGACAGATACGAGCACGAGGACACACCGTCGGACAGATCATCACGGTCGAGAGGTTTCGGCACGCCAGAGCAGGTCAAGAAGGCTGTAGGCCTTCGTCGAGGACGACTTGAACTGGGCGAAGACCAAGACGGAGGACGACGACCACCAGGAGGACGCAGAGGAGGAAAATATCCACCGTGTCCAGCCTGGGACGGCAAGGATCTCAGCGAGTGGCCCGAGAAGAGGCTGGCCATAGACAGGTGGAGCCGACTCGCGGCGGTCCCACCTGAGGAGCAGGGCGAGACGTTGCTGCTGCACCTGACAAAGGAGGCGGCGATAGCGACGAGACGTCTTCGACCAGGAAGTGTACAGTTCGCTGGAGGGCTGCAGACGGTGATCATGGCGCTGGACACGCTGGCCTTCCCAGAGGCGGACGCCGAGACGTTTCAGCAGCTCGAGAAGACGCTGTTCGCAGCACCGAGAGCGCGAGATGAAACGCTCATGAAGTTCACGAACAGGATCCGCGCGGAACAGAAGGAGCGGATCAGGTTGCTGCCTAGCGCGCTCAACGAGACGGTCATGGGCTTCCTGCTGCTTCGAGGGGCCGGCCTGGCCAAGACGGAGCGCAACCAAGTGCTCGTCCAGACGGGCTACGACTACGACGTGAACAAGCTGGTATCGATCCTGAAGCGCATGACGGACGACAACACGGTCACGGAGAAGACCTCGACTACCAGAGCGGCTTCCTACATGGCGGGAGTTTGGGAAGAGGAGCCGCAGGAGGATACTGAGGTCGAGGACGACGACAACCCCATCTATGACGCGATGGCGAACCTGCTGGGCATAGACGACGACAAGGAGCCAGACGACAAGCTCGAGAACGGCGAGGCTCTCACGGAGGCCGAGGCGCTGGACTGCTTAGCGGCGCTGGTCGGGCCATCACCAAAGCCCAGGACATGGGGCGAAGCTCGGAAGATCGCGGCCGACAAGAAGACGAACAGGGGGTTCCACAACATCAAGGACAGGAAAAGGACCGAGGAGAAGATAGAAGACATCAAGAAGAGGACGAAGTGCGGCATATGCAAGAAGCTGGGTCACTGGCACAAGGAGTGCCCCGACAATCCGAAGAACAAGGGCAGGGTGACGGGCGGCTTCTTCGCGATGACGGTGCTCCAGATCGACGAGGTGTGTTGCTACGTGGCGACGGAGGCGAAGATGGCGGAGAGATCCAACATGGTCGAGCACATCACGCCGGCAATCGACATCGAGAAGTCGGGCAGGCCAGGCTGGGGCGCGGTCGACACGGCATGCGGCTTCAACGTGATGGGCCTGGCCACCTTCGACGCCTGGGCCAAGCGCTACAAGGGCGCGCACAGCATCACGCTGGAGACGGTGCCCTACCACAAGAAGTACAGGTTCGGGAACGACCAGGTCTGCACGGCGACGGAGGGCGTGTTCATTCCGATCATGCTGGGCCACTTCAGCGGAGCGATCTTCGCGTGCCTGGTCAAGGGCGCGGCCCCGCTGTTGCTCTCCAAGACGTTCGTTGTGGAGCTGAAGGCGTCACTCCACGCGTTCCAGTCGGAGTTGGACCCGCCAGAGCAGAACGTCAGACTTCCTCTGGCCCACGCTGGAGGTGAGCCCTTCCTGCTGCAGCTCGACAACTTCGTGCGCCCGTGGAAGAAGCCTGAGAGCTGGACTCTGTGCTCGAGGGAGGTTCCGATGGACTTCGGAACGAGCTCGGAGCATATCCATCCATCATCTACGTCGGGCCCCAAAGACCTCGAGAGGCCCCAGAAGATCGGGAGCTGCTACTTCTCGGGCGTCTTGGGCACTACAGCGGTTTTGAGAACAACCTGAACAACGGGCAAGAGGAGATCGTAGGACGAGCACCCGACACATAATAGTACCACTAGCACGAGCACGAAGGGGAGTTGGAGGAGCACGAGGTCAGGAGGGTAGAGTACAAGAGCACGGCAACGAGCTAGACAAGAGCAAAGGCAAGCACAACAGCGCCAGAGAAGACAGCAACTACGACAAGCCAAGCAAAGAGAACAACAAGTGCAATGACATAGTGGCCGAGGTTCTCAAACGTAAACTGCGATATAAACCACGTGCGATCTCCAAAAGCTGGTTCGGCTCGAGTCAGCTTTCACGGACGGGTTCTCCCAGAATATCTTCAACCAGTATTTCTCCATATTTCCATGTCATTCGACGAGCTCCCAAGTACCTCTACTCGGCGCTCGCAGCCTTCATCATCGCGAAGGCCACTAACGACTGCGGGTCAGGCGGAGGCCACAGAAGCCGCGGCGAAGCCTGTGAATCCCCAGAAGGACCCGAAGGTTAGGGACAACCCAGAGAGGGGGAAGGGTTTTCAGTGGCCGCGGCACGAGATAGACAACCGACCGAGGCCGCCAACGGGAGCAATGATCTGCAGGTTCTTGGGCATCCCCAACCAGGGCCCCTGTCCACCGAAGAGCAACCCGAGGCAGGCTCGAGATCACGATCCAGCTCGAGAGACGGCGTGCGTTCGCGAGTTCACGGGCCACGGCGGCAACGGTCGAGCGTTCTGGGTGCAGTGCTGCGGCTGCAAGATGCACCTCGGGTACTACCCGCAGTCAGCCCCAGGGATGATGAAGGTCATCAACATGCTCAACGACTTCAAGAACGAGGAGGCGAGGATCAAGGGATGGAAGCCCAGAACGACCAAGACCAGCAGCAAGAAGCAGGAGGAGACCGAGACGGGACCAACAGCGACCAGCAGGGCGGCATCGACAAGCCCGAGGACCTCTTCCAGAACCAAGCCAAGGCACCAGGACAACCGGTGTCAGAAGGACGAGCTGGAGGAGGAGACAGAGGACTGGGAGCAGCTGGACGACTCCCCACGGAGCAAGGCCTTGACAGCGCTGCGCGAGCTACTTCAGGACGAGAACGCCAACGCGACGACCAATCAGCTGGTGGAGAACCTCCGCGAACACCTCGGAGCCGACATCAGCGACTGCTAGAGGAGCTCAGCGACAAGCAGAACAGCGTGATCAACAAGTCCATCAAGCAGATCAGCGACTTCGAGGACCTGACTCAGGCAGTGGAGGCCGCGATCCCCGAGAGCAGCGCCTTCGTGAATCAGGTCACCCTCAACTTCGAGCCCGAGCTGGACCACCTCAAGGAGGACGATCGAGCCGAAAGGAGCGTGACCAACAAGGAGATCGTGACGCTCATGGGTTCCCATCTGCTGACGAGGATGGGGCAGCGAGAAGTCTGGAGCAAGCTTCAACACTCAACGCCTCTCATGGTAGTTATCAAGCCTCCGAAGGACATCTGCAACACCAAGTTGAAGGAGAAGATCGGCCAGGAGATGCTGACGTTCATCTCCGACGTGGCGATCAAGCAGGCCGTCAACGGCAGGTACTTCTATTACGAGCAGGACATGAACTCCAGGGACTGGGAGGATCCCCTCATCAAGAAGCTCAAGCGTCTACCCGACATCGGCGAGGACAGAGCGCTTCGGAAGGGCCGCAAGTACTTCTCCAATCTACCCAAGGAGGCCATCGAGTGCGCCAAGTTGTTGAGCCAGGAGTTCGTGAATCGACCACCTCACACCGCCCTCGGGGACATTGGCGACTCCCTACAGGAGCTGGTTGGGGTGCTGGTTCGGACGATCATCGAGATGAAGACCACGAAGGAGCTCGGGAAGCAGATCGAGGACAAGTGTACAGCATGCTGCGCGGCACCTACGACACCAACAACGGCACCAAAAGACGAGAAGAGCACGGACCCTCACGTCAAGCAGCAGGTTCAGAAGATCCATGAGAACATGGGCCACTGCAGCAACGAGTACCTGGTCATGGTGTTGAAGTACGGTAAGGCCAGGCAGGCCTTCATTGAGGCGGCGCAGAAGCTCGAGTGCCCGAGCTGCGAGGCGAACAAGAGGCCGAAGCTCGCGAAGCCCTCCAAAGCTCCGACTACCTACCGGTTCAACGATGTCATCGCCATGGACATCTTCTTCGTGTTGGGACCCGAGAACACCACCAAGGTGCCCATGCTGAACATTGTCTGCCACGGTACTGGACAGCAAGTGGTGATACCTCTACCGAGTCGACATGGCCCTCAGATACGGCGTCATTACCGCGCATTCTGGAAGCGTGTTTACGGGGCGCCCCGCATGATAGTCATTGATGGCGAGAAAGGTTTCTCTGCAGGTGAGTTTCCAGAAGCTGCTGAAGGAGATGGTTCCGAGATCAAGGTGACGAGTGCTACTTCACCATGGCAGGCGGGCAAGACCGAACGCGCTGGAGGCACCTGGAAGGAGACCTTCTACCGAACCAGGCAGAAGTTCAACACCAACAACTGGGAGGACTTCTACGAGCTCGTGGATGCGGTCAACGCGGCTATGGGCGAGAGCGTTCGCAGAGGAGGTTTTACACCGTATCAGAGAATTTTCGGGCGACCATTTCGACTTCCTGAGAAGATCTTAGAAGAAGGATCACCAAGTTTATCAACGGTCTCCAGAGCGATGAACGGTGACACCGAGTTGGCCAGGAGCATCGACATGTGCAAGGCCGCCATGGCTGCCTACATCGAGGCCGAGTGCGCAGAAAAGTGGAGACGGGCGCTTCAGAGGAGGACGAGACCTACCAGAGGCACTTTTTTTCAGCCAGGAGATCGAAGTTATTTCTGGCGAAGCAGTGCTGACAAGCTGCCAACTAGTTCTTGGCATGGACCTGCACGTGTCATCCATGTGGAGCTTCCGAGTACAGTGTGGTGCTCATCTCAGGGAGGTCTACTCAAGTGCTCACCTGAACAGCTTTCGACATGCTAACGAGGCCGAGGTCGCAGCCTGGGAGCAGATCGACAGCACCATGAAGGAGGAGTTGAACACCGAGAACAGAGGACGTCGTAAATACGAAGACCTCACTCGACAAGATCAGCCACCAGACGATCTTGAAGTGCCTCACGTTGCTCCACCAGAGCCAGCCGCGGATGATCAAGGGGCAGCCTCACAGCCGCCCACCACAGAGATCGAGAAGGCCGCGGGTGTCAACCCCGAGCTGGTTCCCAGGGCCACCAAGTACTACGATCATCTAGACGACGTGCCGCTGACGATAAAGCAGAACAACAACAATCCGATCTCAGCCATACCAGTCAGCGAGCGGATTGCCGTCATCGAAGCAACGATCAACAAGGAGGCGGAAGCACCATCCAAGAAGAAGGTTAAGAAAGTGAAGGCACCAGTCGTCAGCTCAGCCATGCTCACCAACACCAATCAACGACTTCGTAAGGAGATTACTGAGAAGTCGCTTCTGAACACCTACAAGTACCAGCCCTACATCGCCGCTAAGCGTAGAGAGTGGGGCAACATCACGAATGCACAAGCAATTCGACTACTTCCACCTGCTGAAGCCGATAAAGTACGTCAAGATCCCGATCGAGCTTCCAGGATCATGGGTTCCCGCTGGGTGCTCACCGACAAGGGCGCCAATCCTGAGGAGGTCGACGCTAGCAAGCGGCAGTTGATGTTCATGAGCGACGGCACTTGGAGGATGGCAGAGGCTCGCCGGACCGTTCAAGGACACACCGACCCCGACCTGCTCGACCTCGAGACCTACAGCCCAGTCGTCGGCAAGGACTCCGTGCTCCTGATTTTGCAGATCCTGTGCTCTAACAAGTGGACCTTGCAGCGAGCAGACATCACTTCGGCTTTTACCGCTGGAGATCCACTCGATCGATCTCAAGGCAGTCTCTATATGGAGCTTCCTCGCACTGGGATTCCTGATGTGGAGGACGGTTCGCTGGTGGAGTTACTCAAGGCAGTGTATGGCCTAGGCGACGCTCCATTACAATGGCTATCAGCTTTCACCAAGTACGCCAAGGAGATCGGTTTCCAGTGCTCCATCTTCGACAGCTGCGTCTTCTACCTGAGAGACGAGAAGGGACTTCACGGCATCATGGGCCTCACTGTGGACGACATCGTGGGTGGTGGAGACGTTTTATTCGACGCTGCCTGTCAGAAGCTACGAGAAAGGTTTCCTTTCGGAGCGTGGCGCCACAAGAGCGGGAAGCACACCGGTAAGGAGCTACATCAGAACGAGGACAACACCGAGATCACGATATCACAAAGCTTCAGTTCTAGTAGCATCCAGCTAATCAATATAGCCACTGAACGCCGTAAAGAGCCTCATTCTGCAGTCGCACCTGAAGAACTCCACCAAGCACGCAGTTTGTGCGGGTCAATTTCGTTTCTGGCCCGTGAAAGCAGGCCCGATCTATCTGGTCCAGTGTCCCTATTTCAAGGAAAGATGCCCAACCTGGTGGTGGACGACTTGCTGGAGGCGAACCGCATCGGCAGGATGACTAAAGAATTCAGCTCGGTGGTTCTCAGGATCTGGCACATTCCATTTCATGAGATGGCCTTTGCAGTTTTCAATGACGCGGCCTGGGCAAATGCCAGAGATGGAGCTTCGCAGGCTGGATGCATCGCGTTCGCCACACAGCGCAATATTCTCAAAGGGGAGCCCGCCATCATCTCGATCCAGTCCTGGAAGAGTCGCAAACTTAAGAGGAAGTGTGCTCACCAGTTCGGCGCCGAGACGCTGGCGATTTCAGCAGGAATGGCCATGGGGGAGTTCATGCGCACCATGTTGCTCGAGATTACGGACAGCGAGTTCGACCTGATGAGGCCCTGCATGCTAGCATCCAAGTTTCCAGTGATCAGCGTCACCGATTCCAGAGGCGGCTGCGATCACGTGACCAATCCCAAGGCAGGCTTAGCCGAGGACAAGCGCGCCGCCATCGATGTAGCTATCGTTCGAGCAGCCATGCAACGACCAGAAGTTCACCTACGGTGGATCGTGGGCACCAGCCAGCTCACCGATCCACTGACCAAGCGTAAGGGCGAGAGCGCCCTACTACGACAAGCACTACATGACGGAGAATACGGCATCACCGCAGACAGCATCGTGCTTCGCCGACGATACGAGGACAGGGTTCGACGCCAGAAAAAGGAGCCAGTCATCTTCGCCGTGACCGACTGCTGCTTCTCTGGACTCCACCTCTACGAGATGGACTGTACTGGCACTTCAGGTGCCACCAGCAACGTGGACGATCTCAACTACGAGCCCGGAGCCTACAAGCGCCTCAGGGAGACCCAGCTGATCTTCAGAGAGAGGCCCGAGGCTAGTCGCTTGAACCAGGCGAGAATGAGGTCGAGGAGTTGCACGGGTTCTGAGCAGTAGAGTACCGCCAGTGTGATTCTAGAGGCCCGCGGGCCCCCAAGAAGCCACCTTGGGCCTTCTAGTTGCCTGTACAGCCTAGCTCAGAACCCTTGAACCCTTTTCCTGGGCCGCTGTTGTGGCTCAAGGGAAAGGGGGCCTGTCGGCCCCCTTTCAGGAGCTTGCGCGCGGGGTACTGAAAATAATCCGATCAGTTTCATGTTTCCCAATTACATTACCCTCTAAGATGGTCGAGAGGCCTCGAGGAACCAGGAGCCCATCCACAGTTATAGATCGTGTGTGGCTGTATTCTTAAAGCGTTCTGCACCCTTGCACCTCTTGCACCTCAAAATAATGAGGCAGAACATGTTCTGAGGGTTGAAGAGGACTTGCATAAAGACAATTTCTCGGAGCTTCGCGAGGATTGCTGGACTCGGCGCTGGGCCTCCCTCCCTGGTGCGCGGAGCGCGCGAGGGGGGTCGCCGGAAGCTTTGCGGTGCGCGCAGGCGGTGCGGTGAACGTGGCTGCTGTGGTGCACGCAGGCGCTGTGGTGCACGCGTGAAGCACGCCTCGGGGCGGGCAGCGCGGCAAAGAGTTCTGCAGCACTCCTTGTTCTGCAAAGTCTATGCAGCATAGTGGCAGCAAATACCAGGACTGAATAATGCTCGAAGGAGGGCGTGGGGAAAACATTGTGGTGCAGGCATGGCGTATGCGATGTGGTGCACGCGGCTGCGGCGGTGAATACTGCGCTGCGCACTGTGGTGCATGCCGTGATGCTCACAGGCGCTGTGGTGCCAGAGCCACACGGCGGGGGGCGGGGGGGGGGCGTTATGGTAATTATGTTCCCCCCTCCCCTCATAACGCCAGCCCGTCATGGCCGCGAACAGGGAACTTCTCTCGATCCATAACAGAATTATTACCACCCCAGGGCGCTGCCAAGTGCGCCCTGGTTCGCACTTGCGTTAGTTCCTGGGAGGTCCAGCGAAGCGCGGCCTTACGCAGATCAGACGTACTACCCTCCCTCCCTCCCTGGGCGCTGCGAGCTGCGCAAGTCTGGACAGTTTCTTGAGCTTGTAGGGGGTCCAGCGGAGCACGATCTTTTTCCGACCAGGCTCATTACCCCTTCTCCGGGCGTTGCCAACATCAACTCGTTGGAGGTTCAGCGGAGTGCAGTCCTGTTCAGACCAGAACTATACGCTCGCCGCCCCTGGCGTTGCGAACTGCGAGACGGTCGGCACTTTCGTGAGCTCCTGGGATGTCCAGTGGATCGCGAGTTATTATCCCTTTCCGTGGGCGCTGGCAACCGCGCAGCTGTCGGCTCTTTCTGGGGACCCAGCGGAGGACGGCAGTATTCGTATCCGGTTATTTCAGGAACCTTCCTGGGCGCCGCCAAATGCGCCACTGAAGTGCCTGCTTGCTTTGCTTGTTGCCACTTTAGTTCTTTTTCACCGGTTGGTATTCCCGCCGTTTCTCACCGCATCGGTGCCGACCCGATGGCCGTGTTTGACCTAGTGGAAGGGGAGGTGGAGGATGAGGAGGGGGAGGGGTGGAAGGGTGGAGGACGAGGGGGGGGAGGTGGGGAGGTGGAGGGCGGCGTGGAGGATGAGGGGGAGGAGGATTGGCAGAAGGCGGAAGGGGGGGAGGAGGTGGTGGTGGAAGAGAAGATGGAGGAGGAGGTGGTGGATGAGGAGGACACGCGTGTTAACGGTTCGGTCGGTTTGGTTGCGTCACAGTCGGTTCGGTACGGTCGGTTATTGTGTCGTTGTTGCGTCGCTGCGCCCTTCTAAGTTGTTTTCGGCCTGTCGATTTCGGTCGGTCTCGGTTTCGCTGTCGGTTCGGTAGGTTTTTGGTTCTTGCTGTCGCCGTGCACGGCATTGGAAGAGGAGGAGGGGGGTGGGCGCGCTGTGCTCGGCCGGCCTCCCGCGAGTCGGGGGAGGTTGTTCGCTGGCCGACGAGTGCCCCTTCTGCCACCTGTGCGATTCGGGGGAGAAGCGGCGGAGGCAGAAGGAGAAGAAGGCGCCCTCCCTTCAGATTCTGGCGCCGCGAAAGAATACAGTGCTACAGAGCTAACCCATGTGCAACACGTACACAGATCAGTATGCCGACATGCCACGGACGATGACATCATAATGAACGCGTGAAAGATTCACGGGACAGGTTTGAGTGAGGCAGCATCATAGAATGTTGAACGGCAGGTAGTTCGTGAAAAGGTCAACGATGAATGAGGAGCCGACAATTGCGCATTTCGCAGCCCCCAGGAAGGGAAGGCCTGAGTACGATCTAGGTATGACGTCATCCCGTTGTGGATCCCAAATTCCAAATAATGGAAACAGTTTCGCAGTTCGCAGCCCCTAGGTACGACGAGTTCGCAATCTGATCTGGGTAGCACCGCGCTGCCCTGATGACCACGTATGAGCCCACGAAAGTGACGATAGTCTCGCAGCTCGCAGCCTCCACGGACGACGAGATGTCATTCTGACGTGGGTGGTACCGCACTGCGCTGGACCCTTCCCCCAATCGACGATTCAACCGAGCATCTGGAAGGACGCGTGGGAAGAAGAGTGCGCGATTGGCAACTCCTCGGAAACAATAAGAGACAAACGTTGCTGAGTGATTGTATGTGAGACTCGAATGCGAAGCAAAAGCGGAAGAGACGAGGAGGGGGAGGCAGAGGAGGACGATGAGGACGACGACAAAAGATCTATGCCTCGGATGTGCTGCGTCATCTTTTGTACCTTTCCCATTCCCCACAGGCGCGGTCACGTGACCTTCCCAACCACAAAAGAGCGCTGTCACGCGACCAAGCTCCCCGCTTCTGAGATAGAGGAGTGTCAGTTGGCGAACCTTTTTCATGATCTAGCTGATCGTGGACACACTACGGGCTTCTCACCATTATTCCGACCTCGGGCACTTTCATCAACCGTCTCAAGGACCTCGGACTCATCATGTAAGGCCAGATGGCTCTCGCCTCAAGGCGGCACCCTCGGCCACATAATGAGAGATGGCGACCAAGGTTGGGGAACACCATGGGATCCTGCGTGCAATGCACCATTCCGACCGTGGATACGACAGGTAAGTGTCTGGCTCAACGTACCAGCAGCATGCAGCTGCCATGCAGCGGGGACCTCAAGGTCTCGCGCGGACGCTGGCGATGAGGACGCCGTCCGTGGTGACAGTTTCTGTTGGTGCCGATTACGGCCACGCTTTTCCTGTATAACCTCCCCAGAAGTTCGAAGGCCTCGAAGCTGAGCGGCAACTCCAACAGGGACTTGATCTCATGGGGTTCAGGGTCGGCCAGAATGAGCGGATCGACCTTGAGTCTCAGTCCATTGGTTACGGCCACGACAATTCCCGGTTGTTTTTCGCCGCCATTGATTGGGCATTGCGTGTATCTCCATCAACGATGGCATTTGGAGTGCAGTCGTTCAGGACTTAACATGAGCACGCAACCATCAGGCGTCGACGCTACATCGTCGAGCGGATGTTGGGGAATATTGCCCAGCTTGTGCATGGTCACGGTGCAGTGACACGCCTGACCGACACGACCCGGTTGCAGAATGGAGATGGTCACGAGGCAGCACCCCAACAACAGACCAGTGAATTAGCAAGAGGATTTTGGACCCCTCCACAACGACCGCAAGGCGCCCAGGGAAACTTGAACGCGTGGGGGAATTTCAACGCCCTGACCTTGACGCCGCCGGCTATCTTGCTGGCACATTGGCCGCGACCCGTCTGGGGCAGTTCCACCGAAGAGGACAAAGGCGGCATCGACGCCGACGCTATCTCCTCCATCGGCGATGCCGATTACACTTGGGATGATCTGGCGGGCTTGCCCGAAGAAGAAGAAGAAAAAGAAGAAGCACACGCCCAATATATGTTGTTATCCGCACGCCGAATTCGCCGATACATGAGGAGGAAAAGGAGGAAGACGGCGACCCGCTGGCAAGGGCACCCAAGACTTTTTGTAACCGCACTCACCGATGGGCCCAACGAGAGGCCCTGAGAATGTCAAACCTATTCATGATTGAAATAGCCCGTCCTAAAGAAGAGGTCGGCAGGTTCAAGGTCCCTAGACCTTAGAGTCGGAAGTATCGGGTCTGGGAACGGGAGGTGGGGGGGAGGACTGGAAAGGAAGAGGAGGAAGAGAGAAGGGGAGAACGATGAGGATGACCACAGAGAAGACGAGGGGGGAGCATGATAAGAGAAATGGTGCTGCACGAGGAGAAGGCGACAACGCCCCTCCTCCTCATTCTCCTCACCCACCCGTGGGGCGGACTGCGTCGCGGGAGCGGATCCTGGTTTGTGAGGTTTGCAGAGGCCTCGGCCCTTTACCAATGGGGTGGAAGCCGACTTCCAGATATGTTTTACTCGGTTTAGCTAAATCTCCGCTGAGTCATGAGTTTGCCACCTATCTTCCGCCCCCTCCCCCGCGCAAGTGCCGCCCCAGCCATCGCGGCCGCGTTTGCCTGCCCCGTCCCCCGCTGGGCAGGGGCCCTGCCGCCGCTACCCCCGTCCGCCCCGCCCACGAGGTCGCTTTCGCTCGACGCACTTGAAGGCAGACGGCGACGGCGGGGGCCAGGCGCGCGCGGGGCCCACGGTTGGGGTGCCCGGGTGGTGCGGACGTCTTGCGGCCACCGACGGTGCCGCCAGTCGAGCGGGGCTGACGTCTTGCCGCGGGCGCTGGCGGTCCGGTGCCCTGCTTGTCGGAAGTCGGCATCGTCGGATTTGGCCCCATCGTCGCCGAGAAAGTTTTGGCCCCGCACTCCCACCTAACCCCAGGTAGATGCGCACGGGTGGCCTAACCGATCCCTAGAAAACCATCCCCTTCCGTTACCCCCCCCCCTTCGCTTCACCCCCAGAAGTATGTATACATAAAGATATACACACATTATATCCGTAATGGCTTTGCCCCATGCCGCCGGCCCCCTGTCTCGGATAATCGGAGATGCAAAAGCTAAATCATGAGGTCTGGGCGCCGCCGTGAAGCAGTGCCGGGACCTCTTCGTTTTTCGACCCTGACCTTACGGATCTGCGTGAGGGGTGCCACCGAATTTCAGAAATGTGGCAAATCCATTGTGTTTTTGCACCCTGACCCCGCCGATCTGCGTGAGGGGTGCTATTCAATTTCAAAAATGTGGCAAATCCCTTGTGGTTTTACGCCCTGACACCGCCGATCTGCGTGAGGGGTGCCAGCTAATTTCAGCAACGTGGCAACTCCCTTGTGCTTTTACACCCTGACCCCGCTGATCTGCGTGAGGGGTGCCAGCTAATTTCAGAAATGTGGCAATCCTTTATGTTTTTGGACCCTGGCCCCGCCGATCTGCGTGAGGGGTGCCAGCTAATTCCAGAAATGTGGCAAATCCTTTGTGTTTTTACACCCTGACCCCGCCGATCTGCACGAGGGGTGCCACAGGATTTCAGAGAAGTTGCAAATCCCGTGTGTTTTTGGACCCTGACCCCGCCGATCTGCATGAGGGGTGCCACCGAATGTTAGACATGTGGCAAATCCTTTTTGTTTTTGGACACTGACCCCGCCGATCTGTGTGAGCGGGGCCAGCAAATTTCAGAAATGTAGCAAATCCTTTCTGTTTTTGGACCCTGAACCCCCGATCTGCGTGAGGGGTCCCAGCTAATTTTAGAAAAGCGGCAAATCCCTTGTGTTTTTGCACCCTGACCCCGCCGATCTGCGTGAGGGGTGTCAATTGCTACCTCCCCAGAAATTCTAAGATCTTTTTTCGCCGTGGTAGAAATGCTCGTTTGGGGCCTCCCCCCCTCGCGCGGTCCATCAACAAGGAGCAGTAAGCAGCAAGAAGTCAACAAGGAACAGTAGGCATCAAGAAGCAGAACTGTAACAGTGGAAACTGGAAGCTGTAACTGGTACAGGAAACTGCGAATTCCCGGCCTACAGCCTGGTGGCCCCACAAGGGGGCCGGCGGAGAGAGAGAGAGAGAAAGATATATATATATATATATATATATATATGTGTATATATGTATATATATATATATACATATATACATATATATATATATATATACATCCCCGTGCACGACGCCCGGGCGCCCGGGGCGGCTGCCCCGAGGGGGCATGGGAGTACCGGGCGTCGTTTTCCCTGTGTTTTTATTGGGTTTCGGCGACGCGGGGCCAACAGGGCCCCAAGAGGATGCAGGGAGGCCCCAGGATGCCGCCGCGATGGCTCCAGACGCCTTTCAAGACCACTCCCATGACACCAAGAAAGCCCCCGAAGGCCCCCAAGACGCCCCAAGAGGCACTCCGAGAGAGGCCCAATAAGCAAAAATCGCCGACTTCCGATGGGGAAACTGATATATTTGGCGTGCTTGCCTTTTGGGCGTCCACTGCATCCAAGACGGCCCACGAGGCACCCAAGCCGGTCGAGGATGTCTCCAAAAGGGCCCCAAGACGGCCCACGAGGGCGCCACGACGGCCCACGAGACGCCCAAACCGCCCAAGAACGCCCCAAGGCGGCGCCCAAGACGGGGACGTGGCACCGGAAATTCTGGCCTTCTGGCCCACGAGGCCCCCAGGAGACCCCAAGAGGCTCCAAGAAGGGGCCCAGAAGCCCCGAGAGGCCCCCATGAGACATGAAAAAACACCAAAAGAGATTGTGAAGACGCCCCAGGAGGCATCCTGACAGTGGCCTCATAAGCAAAAACCGTCGATTTCCTATGGGAAAACTGCTATGTTTGGCGTGTGTGTCTTTTGGGCATCCACTGCACATCCAAGACGGCCCAAGAGGCACCCAAGGCGGTCGAGGATGCCCCAAAAGGGCCCCAAGACGGCCCACGAGGGCGCCAAGACGGCCCACGAGGCGCCCAAACCGCCCAAGAACGCCCCAAGGCGGCGCCCAAGACGGGGACGTGGCACCGGAAATTTTGGCCTTCTGGCCCACGAGGCCCCCAGGAGACCCCAAGAGGCTCCAAGAAGGGGCCCAGAAGCCCCAAGAGGCCCCCATGAGACCCGAAAAAACAGCAAAAGAGGCTCCGAAGACGCCCCAAGGGGCATCCCGACAGTGGCCCCATAAGCAAAAATCGTCGATTTCCGATCGGAAAACTTAAATTTTTGGCGTGTTTGCCTTTTGGGCGTCCACTGCATCCAAGACGGCCCCAGAGGCACCCAAGGCGGTCGAGGATGCCCCCAAGAGGGCCCCAAGACGGCCCACGAGGGCGCCAAGATGGCCCGCGAGGGCGCCAATACGGCCCACGAGGCGCCCAAACCGCCCAAGAATGCTCCAAGGCGGCGCCCAAGACGGGGACGAGGAACCGGACATTCTCGCCTCTTGGCCCAAGAGACCCCTAGGAGACCCCAAGAGGCTCCAAGAAGGGGCCCAGAAGCCCCAAGAGGCCCCCATGAGACCAACAAAAAAAAGCAAAAGAGGCTCCGAAGACACCCCAAGAGGCACCCCGAGAGTGGCCCAATAAGCAAAAGTCGTCGATCTCCTATGGGAAAACTTACATTTTTGGCGTGTTTGCCTTTTGGGCGTCCACTGCATCCAAGACGGCCCAAAAGGCGCCCAAGCCGGTCGAGGATGCCCCCAAGAGGGTCCCAAGACGGCCCACGAGGGGGCCAAGACGGCCCACGAGATGCCTAAACCGCCCAAGAACGCCCCCCCAGGAGCCCAAGAGGTCTTTCCGGGGAGCCTCCACAGCGCCCAAGGAGGGCCCAAGACGCCTCCCAGGAGCACCCAGAATGCGAAAGGATGGTCCAAGACGTTCCCAAGCAGCCTAAGTCAGCCTTCGGACGGCTCTCGAGGCTCCCAGGTGGCCTCCAAGAGACCCCAAGAGAGGTCCGAGAGGCGTCCCGGGACGGCCCGAAGAGGCCCAAATCGGATTTTGTTTTTGTTTTGTTTTTGCAATGTTGTTGGTTTCTCGCGTTTTCGAGCTTCCAATGGTCCAAGAGCGCCGAAGAGGCTCCAAGACCGCCCCAAGACCACCCATGAGACCCTCAGGACGGCCCCAAGACGAGCCAACAAGGCTCCAAGACTGCCGAAGAG